AAGGTCTGACGGATTCCTCGCACACGACAGTAGGCACTCAGGACGCCAGAGGAGAACTCTCCGCCTCTGTCCGAGTGCAGACGCAAAACAGGGAGGTCAGAGCCAAAGCTCCTCCGAAGCTGAAGACGAGCTGCGCGGATCCAGTCGATCAACACCTCAGTGACCTCACCCTTGCTGCGCAAGGGGAAGACTGTGGTGTAACGCGAGTAGTCATCAACCACCAGCAGGAAGTAGCGCTCCTGACCCTGTCCACGGACGCGGGCTGGGCCCCACACGTCCATGTGAAGCGTCTGCAACGGGGCCTCTGTCGGAGGAAACTGGGAGGAGTGAGGGGCAGCACGCTGGCGCCCCTCGACACAGGGGACACAGGCAGGGCCAGGGCCCGGAGGAAGGGGAGGGAGGGACCGGGGAAGACCAGACACAAGGACCCGCGAGGCCATGCCTCTGAGCCGAAGCAGAGAGGGGTGGCCAAGGCGGTGGTGCCAGAGGAGGGTCTCGTGAGACAGACGACGACACGAACAGGGGGCAGACTCAGGACCAGACCTGGACGCTACAGCAAACACCTGACCAGACGAAGGGACTCTACCAGACGCAGCACCTGGAGGAGAAGCAGTGGTCAGTGTGTACAGGCTCGACCCTGGCCGACATGTAAACGTAGCCAGGTGACGACCTGTATCCGCCTCCGTATAGTGGGTCACCCGCTGACGAGCAGGGGTGAACTGGTGGACACCTGCATCCTGGAGGTCAGCACCACTCACCAAGTTCGTCGAGAACGAGGGGAGGTAGAGACCAGTCAGGGTGCCAGAGGGGGCCGCTGGACACGGGAGGACAGTGGAGAAGCGAGACAGGACAGGTCCCCCAGAGGGGTCAGCCAGGGACACCGCAACCGGCCGACTCAGCGGCGTGAGAGTGGTGCGGTCCCTAAAGAAGGAGCGAGACGCTCCAGAGTCAAGGGTGAAGGTGTGAGAGGCCGAAGCCGACACAGTACCTGAGAGGGCGGACTCACCAGCACCTGAGAGCACAGACGCACTGGCACCTAGAGCTGCAGCCTCACTAGTACCTGACGCGGCAGTACCAATACCCGGGTCGGGCGGGAAACACCGGTAACAGTCATCCTCATCACTACCAGTCACAGCATACATAGCAGAGAGAATAGCATCAAAATCAAGATCATAAATAGCTACTCCAGCCCTAGACAGCTCTCCCCAGCGGGGGATCTCAGCGGCCTCCGGAAACTGCTGACGCCAGGCGTCGGTCAGACGGCCAAAGCAGCGACGGGCTGTGTGGGCACCTCCACACCTCTCCCCCGCACGGTCACCGGTGCGAAGAACGTAGGGGCAGGGACCAAGCGCACCACCGCGCTGACGCTGCAAGTACCACTCACGGAGCTGCTGAGGGCCGGGGACGGTGCGAGAGCGCTGCTGCTGCTGCGGCTGCTGCTGCTGCTGCTGCTGCTGCTGCTGCTGCTGGCGCTGACCACCCCCAGAGCTGCTCCGTTGGGACGAGCCACTCCGACCCCCGCCTCCACCGCCACCCCCGCCTCCACCGCCACCCCCGTCTCCACCGCCACCTCCCCCACCAGGACCGTCGCTCCCACCGCTCCCACCGCCTCCTCCGCTACCACCTCCGCCGCCACCTCCGCCTCCACCGCCGCCACCAGTACCTCCACTCCCGCCACCACCCCCACCGCCACCCCCACTCCCCCCTCCACCCCCACCGCCTTCTCCACCGCCCCCTCTAGCTCCACCCGCCCCCTTGCCCCCCTTGCCCTTGCCAGAGCGGCGTCTGCCGCTGGGGGCAGACGCCGCGCCGACCGACTCAAAACCAGCGAGGTCGGCCGCAGCGGCAGAGGCGACAGAGGGCAGCAGGGGGGAAGGACCACACCCCTCAAAGATGGGGGTGCGAGGGTCACCCCGAGAGGCCCCTACAGCGACAATACTCTTCTCAGCCGCTAGCAGGGACTCCTCAAGGAGGTCGACAGTGAGAGTGGTGGGACAGACAGAGAGAAACTGGTCCCTAACGACACGAAGGGACTCAGGGAGATGGGTGACGAGAAAGTAGAGAGTGATGTACATGGGAGGAGGGTTCGCAGCGCGGAACTCAGCAGGAAGGGCAGCACGGTAGCGGGAGTCACTAGCGCGGAGGTGGGTAACTAGGTCAGCAACAGTGGGAAAGGAAGCGAGGTCAGGGAAGAGAAACGGTAGCATGAGGCGGCTAAGGGTAGCGGAGGAAGGGGAGGAGTAGCGTGCAACTACAGCGTCGTACAAGGCCTGAGCGGTCTTGCACTGACTAAAGTGGGCACGCTCAGAGGAAGGGAGGTGGTGACGCACAGCAAGACGTGCAGCAGCATCGCGGGTCGCCCACTTGGAGCGAGCAGCAGAGTCAGCATCAGCAGGCGGGGCAGGGACAGCGCCAGAGACAAAGTCAAAGAGAGAGACCTCATCTATCGCATCACATAGTAAGTACAGCTGCAGGTCTTCAATCCAGACGGCAAAGTCAATGGCCCTCCCCTCAGCGTCAAAAGTAAGAACATTGGGGGTGGCCATGGCAGCAGCTGAAAGTCTCACCGGGCTAGGAGAGTCGGGTAGGACAGCAGCAGGCGGCTCGGGCTGGTGGGGCGGCTCGGGCGGCTCGGGCGGCTCGGGCGGCTCGGGTACCGGGCTGCTCGGCTGCTGCTGGGCGGCTCGGCTGCTGCTGGGCGGCTCGGCTGCGGCTGGGCGGCTCGGCTGCTGCTGAGCGGCTCGGCTGCTGCTGGGCGGTCCGGCTGCTGCTGGGCGGTCCGGCTGCTGCTGGGCGGCTCGGCTGCAGTGTAGTGGCGGGGCCGGGACAAGGGACGTTGGGGCCGTCAGGGTGCAGCGGCGGGGCCGGGACAGGGGACGGGGGGGCCGTCAGGGTGCAGCGGCGGGGCCGGGACAGGGGACGGTGGGGCCGTCAGGGTGCAGCGGGCCAGCAGGTGAGGTGGCGAGCCGGTAGGTGAGGCGGCGGGGCCGTCAGGTCAGGTGGCGGGGCCGTCAGATCAGGTGGCGGGCCAGCGGGGGAGGCGGCGGGCCGTCAGTGAGGTGGCGGGCCAGCAGGTCAGGCGGCGGGCCGTCAGGTGAGGTGGCGGGGCTGTCAGGTCAGGTGGCGGGCCAGTAGGTGAGGCGGCGGGCCGTCAGGTGAGGCGGCGGGGCCGTCAGGTAAGGTGGCGGCGGGCCGTCAGGTGAGGCGGCGGGGCCGTCAGGTAAGGTGGCGGGCCAGCAGGTGAGACGGTGGGCCGTTAGGTGAGGCGGCAGGGCCGTCTGGTGAGGTGGCGGGCCAGAGGGCGAGGCGGCGGGCCGTCAGGTGAGGCGGCGGCCGTCAGGTAAGGCGGCGGCGGGGCCGACAGAGGTGCAGCGGGGGGGGGGCCTGCCGCAGCGACGAAGAGGCCGCGCGGCCGTCTTGAGGGCGGCGCGGCGCGGCTGTAAGGGCCGCGCGAAGTGGGGCCCAGGCCGCGCGCGCGAAAAAAAATGAGTCGCGCGCGCGACTCTCGGGGCGCCACAAGGGCAGCTCGACGCGCACTAGGGGGAGCGCGCCTCGAGGAGAATAGGGCGCGCTCCGGGCAGGAAAAAAAGATCGTGGGTGGGCCCCAAAAAAAAAAAAACGGTCCTTAGAAGGGACCCGCTCTATACCATGAGAAACTGAATGAACGGGAGTGAATGACTATGAAATGAAGTGGGTACAAATAGGAAACCCTAATTGGGTTGTACCCCCTATGGGATACCCCACTATAGCCTACAGAAACAAGTAAGCTATATGTTCTGACACCCCAATCCCCCCAGCATCCCCCTTCTCCCCATCGCAACTGCTCCAACTCTCTCAATCTTATTGCATGTGTTTCCATTCACGTCTCAGCAGAAGCAGATTGGTGCTCTACGTGTGTTAGTACGCCATTTCCCTTCATATCTCCAGTCGCCCTCGTTCACTTGCCTAACTTAGCGTGCATCACCTTTAACCGTTACTGCCATGCCTTTCGTGTCTGCGTTAGATTTTCGTCAGCCTGTTCTTATAACTAGGGTTTACTCCTGGTGAGAATCGCGGCAGTGGGCGCGAAGTGAACTGCGCTACCTGCTGCTAGCGGCGGAGTGTGTGGTGGCGTAAGGCGCACGTTCTTCTTCTGCTGCTGCTGCTAGCAGGATTCGCGACTGAGGGCGTGACGTAGTCTGGTTTCGTGTCAATTTTGGCGCACGGTCGCTCTCAGTGAGACCCGATCTGTGCTATTGCTCTGCAGTTGCTTGTACGCTTTTGCTCTTTCGTAACATTTGACCGTTTTTGCTGCAGGCGTTCAAGGGAAGCTCCCCCAATGAGATTTCCGGGCCAGCTACTCATCCACACTGCCTACATCTTCCCGTTGTTTTTATGTGCTACCTTATGCACGGGCGATGACAATTGTTTCACTTTCATACCTTATTTTTATTGCCGTTTTTTGCAGGGTCTATCATTTTTTTAAGGTACGTGGTGGTCTCTGCAGTTCCGTGTGATTTCCACCTGAACTGTGTGTCGTTTGTATTTTCAGGAAGTTTAGTGCTGATATATGCGTTGTGTATTCAGCAAAGTTAGTAGAGCCTCTGATGCAATATCTTCATGTATTGTGTACATGCAACTCTAATATAGATATTTTTAACACACACAATGATCCTAACATTTAAACAAATTTGTTACTGATTTGTGTGGTTGCACTAGTTCTTAGTATGGAATTTGTTCGCTCCAAATATATGTGATTTGCTATGCATTTGATCGTAGTTTGCATAACATAATTTTGCAGATTATATACTTGCCAGTATGTAATTGTAAACAGATGGTGAAACAAATGCATACTAAAGAGCATGTTTTTGCTAGTGAAGTTGGTATCGTTTTGGTATGCATTGGTGCTCTACCGTTTACATACTAATCCAACCATACTAAATACCTACGACGCATGCTACTTTATGGTACCCCAAATGACCCATACTATTTGGTTACTTCAGGATATGTTGCAAGTATATCTACGTTATGTAAAACGATTCATGATTTTTGAGATGTCTGCTCTGCCTCTGCAGGTACGGGAAGAAGGGTGTCTCGGCGGCGAGGCCCCCCCACTGGCGTGTGGCGTCCACCATGTAGTCCAGCGCTGCCGTCGGCCACCCGCCGTCAACACAGTTGCTGCTGCTGTTGTTGCAGTCAATCACCTGAGGGGTTTGCGGGGTGGGGGAGGAGAGTTGAATCGGTGCTGTGGCGATGAGACGCCCTCCACATTGGGAACAACCCCATTGGGAACAGCCCCATTGGGAACAGCCCCCACTGGCGTGTGGCGTCCACCATGTAGTCCAGCGCTGCTGCCGTCAGCCACCCATCGTCGATGCAGTTGCTGCTCGTGCTGTTGCTGCAGTCCAGCACCTGTGGGATTTGCGGGTGGGGGGAGGAGAGTTACTTAGTTGGATTTGACGGAGCAAGCAATTTTTACGGTTCCGTTTTTTACGCTGGACGGAACACTCCGAGATTTTGACGGTGCAATTGACGCTGTCGTCACAAAATTTCGGCCCCAAAATAATATGCTGAAAGAATGTTTCAACCTAGTTCAAAGTATGCCAAACGGAACATACTTGTGGATCATTGCTGGGGTTATGTTGCTGCATACTTCGCGCCACATCTTGCTACGAACAATCCCCCCCGCTTTTAAGTGAACAACGTCAAAGGGAAACTCGTTTCTGTATAACGTTGCGTAACAGTACACTTATGTAAAATGCAAGGACACAACTTATATATACCGTATGTAAAATCTTACATGGCATTTGTGACTGCAAACTATCATTATAAGAACTTTCACTCATTATAGGCAGCATTTCGTATAGTCACATTTGTCCAACAGCAGTATGCCCTGTCATTGCACAAAGTTTGTTGGTTGTTTAAATCAGTTTCATAAAACAATAAATAAGCCAGCGGTCACACATGCACAAATTAAACACAAAACATCAGAGGTGCTTGTTACATCCGACCCTACAGTACAAAACCTACATTAGCTAGATCTTCGAACCAATGCGCCATCCAATCTACCCCGGTATAATGCAGGGGGAGATGAGGAGCCTCTGCGGTATCATTGCATGAGAAAGAGCCCATCACTGCCATTCCCTCTGCTTCCACATCCCCCATCACTACCTCTCCCTCTGCTCCCTCATCTCCCTCGTTGCTACCTCCCCCTCTCACTTTTCCCCCATCACGGCCTCCCCAACTGCTCCTTCATCTCCTCACCTACTGCTCCCTCATCCCCCCCATCAATGCCTCCCCGACTGCTCACCCATCCCCCCATCGCTGCCCCCCCCACTACTCCTGCTTTCCCCCTTTCAATGCATCCCCCTTAGGTGCCACATCCCCCTTATTGCTACCTCCCCTGCTGCTCCCTCCTTCTCCCCGTCACAACCTCCCCCGACGCTCCTCCCCCGTCATTGCCTCCCTCACTGCTACCCCATTCCTGTCACTGCCTCACCCACTGTTCCTCCATTCCCCCTGTCGCTGTCTCCCCACCCTGCTCCCTCATCCCCCCCATAGCTGTCTTTCCCCCTGCTCCCTCAACCCTCCCATCACTACATCCCCCTTAGTTGCCACCTCCCACTTATCGCTGCCTCCCCAGCTGCTCCCTCATTCCCCCCAACACTGCTTTCCCCACAGTTCCTTCATCCCCCCCGTCTATGCCTCTCCCTCGTCACTTCTTCCCCCCTCAGATGCCTCATTCCCTTCGTTGCAGGAGACCGATTCAATAAAAAACAGTCAACGAGGTTCAAATACAAGCCATCCAGCTGATACTGATGAGAAAATCGTGGTTCGGGGGGGAAGGAAGGGGGAGGAAGAAAGTGGGAAGGGGAGGGGAGGGGGGGGGGGGGGGGGGGGGGGGTATTGAGATGGGATGAGGTATTGTTGATCATGATAGAGTGAGAGTGAGTAGGGAACGGCAAGGGTCACAGGACAGTGGGAAATGGGTGATAGGGGAGGGTCTTACAGGTGCTGGAGGTGAGGGAGAGTGTTGATGCGGTAAGTTGAGGTGGGGGTTTCACAGGTGTTTGAGACGAGTGAGTGTAGAGCGGACAGCAAGAGAGCCTTCAAACGAGTTGTACACTTTTTCCTGTGCACGCACACAAGGGGATATATGAATGAGAACACCCTAGAAAACCAACACACACAAGAGAGACCATCGTTGGGGCGCAATCAGAGCATCGGTTAATGACCAGGCGAAGTCGTTGAATGTGAAGTTGGCGGGTTGACGAGAAGAAAGCGAGGAGGGTGGCCGCAAGAGGAGGGAGGGCGCATGCGCAGATATGTATCGAGCGCGACCACGCGAGGACTCTGCGCTCTCCGCGAGCCGCTGAAAATCTGAGGGGGCCTGGCAGTACGGGTCTGCTAGTAAGCGAACGGCAAGCGAAATGCGGATAGCAGTAGTACATGGAGGGCTAAGCGAACATATGATTGCAGAACGGTGCGGCACAGAGTGAATGGGAAGCGACGCTATCAAAAAAGAGAGGTGGTCAAAACAGAGAGCTGGTCAAAACAGAGAGCTGGTCAAAACAGAGAGCTGGTCAAAACAGAGAGCTGGTCAGAACAGAGAGCTGGTCAAAACAGAGAGCTGGTCAGAACCAGAGAGCTGGTCAGAACCAGAGAGCTGGTCAAAACAGAGAGCTGGTCAAAACAGAGAGCTGGTCAAAACAGAGAGCTGGTCAAAACGGAGAGCTGGTCAGAACAGAGAGCTGGTAAAAACAGAGAGCTGGTCAAAACAGAGAGCTGGTCAAAACAGAGAGCTGGTCAACCCAGAGAGCTAGTCAGAACCAGAGAGCTGGTCAAAACAGAGAGCTGGTCAGAACCAGAGAGCTGGTCAAAACAGAGAGCTGGTCAAAACAGAGAGCTGGTCAGAACCAGAGAGCTGGTCAAAACAGAGAGCTGGTCAGAACCAGAGAGCTGGTCAGAGCCTGGATGCATAGATCATACACGCATGCATAGATGCATGCCCTAGATGACCTTCCCTCCTGCTCGTCCATGCCCCCCCACGCACTTGCACCGCAGTGCACCGCTCACCTGCACATCCATGAGCGGAAGGTCGAAGGGGTGTGTCTGCCGGCAGCGGATGGCATCCAGGCTGTTGGCAGCGACGGTGCACTCATACACAATGCGCGCTAGCATCGTGCTCTGCTCGCTACCCTCTTATTCATCGTTGTCCTCGCTGCTCCCATGCCATCACACACGCTGCGGTGGGACAGGGGCAAGAGAGTGGGGGATGAGAGGGGAGCGAGCGGGAGGAAGAAGGAGAACAGAAATTGGGCGGGAGTGAAAACACACTGAATTCCACTGCCAGCTGCAGGCATGGACTTTGCATTGCCAAGGCATGCTTCTACAGGTCTCGCCTCGCCGTGCCCCATGTGCCTCGCCATGCCACCTACATGCACCATGCCTACACACCTCACCTGTGCCCCACCACATCAGGTCACGCCATGCCATCCCATGACGTTCCATGCCCCACCATACCACCCATACCACCCCATCCCAACCCGTGACACATACGTGAGCAGTATCCGGAGGAGGCAGGGTTGGCAGTAGGGGGGGAGCGGGAGGTGGAGAAGGGGGGAGGTGGGAGGAAGAGCAAGGCGAGGAGGCAGTTGAGGGCGATCTGGCGCAGTGGACGGGACAGAGCCGCCACCTGCTCTCCAGGTAGGTGAGGCAGCTGGGAGGGTGAGGGGATGCGGGGTGGAGAGGGAGAATAGGCTAAGTTGGTATGTCAAATTTATATTGGGCGCAGCCAAGAGTCGATAAGGCCACTGTAGGAGCATAGAGAAATCCTGAGCGAGCGAGCGCTAACCTCACGCAGGTTAACGCTGTCCTAGACGCACTCGGTGACAACGAAGTCGCGGTGCCCATCTCAAACTCGTTTGCCTCGATATTGCTCAGATCCAGAATGTCGTTCATGATCTCCACGAAGCCGTGCTGCTCCTCCGACAGCAGCAGCTGCGTCATGCCTGGGCAGTGTATGGCAAATGTGGGTAGAAACTGAGTATACAGCAAGGCAAGAGTCTATGAGGAACGCGTGAGTGCAAGGCCGTGAGCATGCGTGCAGCAGTCCGAGCTGGGGTAAACTCTATCGTGAAGTTCTCATCTCACCGAGCACGGGTTCGTGGAGGCGGTTGGCGGACTCTGCCTCCGTGCGCTACTCGCGCAGCTCCGCCAATCCGCTCCAGAACCGGCGACTGCTGTGATATGCAGCAGCGCCATTGCTCCAAGTCCTGCCGCCTAGCGCGAACACGCGGAAGCAGAGGTCAGCGAGATCGGTACAAGTGGGTGGTAACCGTACCGCAGCTCTGTAATTCTGCCAGTAAAAAAGGTGGATGGCATGACTGCTCCTCACCTCGATGCATCGCTGCAGGTGCCGCAGGTTCCACTCTATTCTCGCCGCAGCGCCTCGTTGCTGCGCAACAGCTGCTCCGTGGGCTCCACAATGCGCTCCTGCAGTGCTGCGTTGAGCGCGCAAATCGTTACGGCGCTCCCGCTTCAAGAAAATAGGTGACAGTGGTGGATCTTGTTTCCCGCAGTTTGCGTACCACCCGTCGCGGTGGTCTTGCTCGATCTGCGCTTTCCTAATTCAACGAAACTACGAAGTAGTGGAAAATGAAACAACAAGACTCAAGAAAATTATGAATCTCGTGTGAAATCGCTCGACTGAAATAGGTCGAGGAGATGAGACTCTCTGCGTGGTTTGAAAGCCAAGACTCACGGTCGGTGCAAAGGGATACAGTGTCATGCGCGAAAAGATTTGAACATGGTACGTTGTAACATCGTCTGCCGCGTAGCATGTGATTGTCCTGCAAGGCTGGACGAATTTGCGGTGTAACCAGTTGCACCTAACACAGACGGTCATGTCATTGACGTCGCAGCAGGCTGCACCTGAGAAATGCCAAATTTGTCGGCGAAAGATATCGAGCACGCGTTTTGATGCCACTGTGCATCAGCCCCGACCTGCCTAAGGTTTGGCTGTCCGGTTTTGTTTTTCCGTTCTTGCGTCACTTCATTCTTACACCGAAACTTCAATCATGTTATGAATGAACTTGCAGAGTGCGCAGTAAAACGAATAACTAGAATGACTGATTACTGAATTACTGAATGACGATACAATGAGAAAGGCACGACTAAATAGGGGAAGTCCTAGCTAGGCGGAGAGGTTGGGCGAGGATGGCTCGGTGATGGTTGCGATTGGAGCGGAGGCCGACTCGGGAGTGGTTCGGTGCGACAAAATAGGAAGGACAGGTTCGTCGCGTGACCCTCGGGATGTCCTCGCTAACAAGTGCCTCAGTAAGGATTTGTAAATCCTTACACTCTCCCACCTTCTAAATAAGGCAGCCCTGTACTGAAAAAGGCCCCACACTAGCGAGGATTCCGTAGATCGCCACTTCAGCTGAATCCGACGGCCGAAATGCCTTGGACAATATTTTTGAAAAGGTTGGAATGTAGGCCGTTGATGAAATTCGATTTCGATCTGACTGTCCACGATGAACTGGCCCAAATTGGATTGAAAGTTGGAATGTGGGCCGTAGATGCGCTGACTGCAGATCTGACGATCAACGATGTCGCGGATGTGGAGGGAAACTGCTAACGCGAAATTCAATCGCGATGTAGCGGAAGCCGTCGATCTTGTCGGTGTGATCGCGGTCGTCCGTCGTGCTGACGCAACCTGACAAAGTCAAGAAGAAACTCGAGAAAACACCAAGGAAAGAAATAGTGCAAAGCACTTTCTCCCCCCCTCCAAGAAAGCACACCAGAAAATGTTTCACAGCTGCGCCGAGATGAAAACCAACAAAAATCCAGGTTTTAAGTCCCACTGAAGCGAATGTCGAGCGTAGAAAGCCAGGTGAAGACTCGTCGGTGTGGAAAGTCGATGGCGGAACCGGGTAGTACGTGCCCCAAAAATCTCTGAGAGCTAGCCCGTAGATGTAGACCAAAAACCGAAACCGAAATTGTCGAGTACTCGAACTGAAGCTGTGTTGTCTTAACTCGCGAGAATCATGCAGTATCTTCAGCAGTTGCAGCTGGCAGCACCTGACGTGGTCGAATTAAATGCAGTTGTCGTGGACGGAGGCGAATGGGTGGATTTATCGTTAGTAGAGTTGGAAGTCCCGTCCCGAAATCCTCTGGCCGTGAAATCAGGGTGTGGCGAAATCGTCGTCGATGAATACGATTGATGGTGAAGTTGAAAACGAGACTCGGCGACGGTCGTCAGCAGTAACAATTTACGAATAACATTCCGGAAAAGTTGTCGAACGCGATCCAGTGTCAGATAATGTCAGCACCTTCGGCGGCATTGTCCAAACTCGCCGAGCAATTTGTCGTAATGCCTCGAGGGCTCTTGGGCAGAGATGAAAATTGCAGCTGTCTCTCCCCCCCCCCCCCCCCCCCCCCCCCCCCTTCACTGTTGCTGCCGCCTTCTTCAGTTCGTCGTAAGTCGTTCGTACCCCTTGAAAACTCCGTGTAGATCTCGCGGTGTTGCCCCACGTAATTGTTGCGCGCGTTTAACCGAATGCCGCATTCTTCTCCGAAATTGTCGGCGCTCCTCGCCGTAAAACCTGTAAGTCTCCACGTAAACACTCCCAAATTGTCGCTCGAATCAGACCCCGTAAATCCGCAGTTGCAGTTGCAGTTCGCCTCCGAAAATCTCGGACGTGCTATAGCGGCCCACTCGGTCACCATCAGTTTCCGTCGGCTACCCGACCCCAGCATGTGGGTTCAATCGAGAACCGGGGACTGCCCTGGGTTATTCCGAGACCGAATTTCACGGAACCTAGTGGCATCAACGCCGTTGACTTCGTAGTCGAAAACTGCTCCCGTCGATGTCGCTTAACAAAAATTCCTGTTTCTCCCACCAGCGCTTTGCAGATGTTTCACCACATCGCTCGTCGCCGGTCGATAGATCCCGAAGCTACGACTGCTCCCACGCCCCCCTTTTTTTGAAGAATTTCCCGAGGTGTGCGTTTAAACACCGGGGGTCCTAGGCATCCTTGCCGCTGTGTTTCTTGCCAGGCAACTTCGGAAAGTGCTCTTCAGGCGAGTCCCCCAACGACTCAACCGCACTCCAAGAAGCGAAGAAATACCCGCAGCTTCATATTGTTTTGTCGTTTCACCCCCCGACAATTCCGCTTCCCGCCTTTCACCCAACATCCGTTTTTGTCGGATGGGGTATAGTCGGTGTTGCCCGCGCGAGCCCAGCTACGGTGGAGGGGCAAAAAATATCGGAGTCGGGGACCCTTATTTAAAAGGAACTGTCGCCCAACCGTTTTGCAGCCCACCGCGACCATCGCGCCACTAAACTCCACAGCATCCCAGTCCCCGCTTTGCCGCTGCGTCGTCACCTCGTGTAGACGCCCGGGTCAGGAGAAACGAGCGAACTGCACCATTGTTGTCCTTGCGGCGCCCCGATTTTTTCGCGTGCTGTTTCACCCAGTCCGCTTTTGTCGGAGTAGAACAGTGCCTCAACTCCACCTTCTTTTTGTTTTTTCTGTACAGCTGTCGAACGAGCACCAATCCAAGTACCTTTAACCAGCACAGGGTAGGCCCGTGTTCACCCCCGTTATTCGGCCAAGCAAGTTGACTGCATGAGTCAGAACTAGAAACTTGGTGGGGATGGTGAGGTTTGGGCGACGGAAGGTCACAGATCGTTCACACCGGCTTTTAACCTGCCCTTCACGCCGTTCTTCAACCCCCGCTTAGCCGTCGAGTAGTTTCTTCTCGTGTGTCCCGGCGGCCTGTACCACTCTCCTCCGTAATTGTCGGCGTGGTACCTTGAAGACCGTTTAATCGTGGGCTGTTGAGGCTGTCCCCGAAAATGACTTCCTTACAGGGAATCCGCTCTCGAAATTGCCGGCCAGCAGTCAACAGTACCAGGCACGCAGCGTCATCCGAGTGTTCTTCGGGGTGTATGGGCCCGAATGGCCCTCGCCGCCTGCGTCCCACTCCTCCTGAGTGCGATTTGGCCACTCCGTTTTCTGTTGCAACCCGTAAGTGTCGGCGGGTCTGAAGTTCCCGTCTGTCCACGTGCACTCCTGCCGAAATCTTCGATGACGCGCCCGCCATGCAGTAAAAGCCGCTGCAATTCCGGTCGGGCGGGACGACAGTTGACCTCGCGCAATTTGAGCAATTCGCGTGTCGTCTCTCCTCGTCCACTGATATTTTCGGACGCAAAACTCCATTTGCGCCTGGCAAGTTCCCCGGGTGACTTTTTCTCCACAGTTGCTCCGTAATTGTCGCCCACAGTGACGCACGTTCCTTGTCGCCAGCTGCCGAGCCACACTCCGTGAGTCATGCGCGCAAAATGACGACGAGCCACCGTCGTAACTTGCCGCTTCAGACGAACTCCGAAGTTGTCGCTTAGCTGTTGACCCAGGTCCGACGGCGTCAGCTGCCACACACGTTGACGACTCCGCGAATTTCGTGCAGGTGCCAACGCAGGTCCGCTGACGCCAGCTGCCACACAAAACTTCTGAAATCGTCGGTAATCGCAGCGAAAATTACTCACATAAACGTCGCGATAGCTACTGCTGCCCGTTGCCCAGGGGGAGGGAGGCCACGGTCGATCGCGACCGTTCGAGGCAAGGATCTGGCGGTGTCGAAGGAGTACGCGTAAAACCATGGCCGTGAGGAGCAACTAACTCGTTCTCCTGGCCAGCCTACGCAACTCCTGGACCCTAAGACATCCTTCCTCGTCCACCCCCCGAGGGGTACTACACTCTAAAAAGCGGGGTAGGCTAGGAAAGTAGCTCTGATACCAGGTGTTATGAATGAACTTGCAGAGTGCGCAGTAAAACGAATAACGAGAATGACTGATTAATAAATTACTGAATGACGATACAATGAGAAAGGCACGACTAAATGAGGGAAGTACTAGCTAGGCGGAGAGGTTGGGCGAGGATGGCTCAGTGATGGTTGCAATTGGAGCGGAGGCCGACTCGGGAGTGGTTCGGTGCGACGAAATAGGAAGGACAAGTTCGTCGCGTGACCCTCGGGATGTCCTCGCTAATGAGTGACGAAATAGGACAGGTGCGACGAAATAGGAAGGACCTGCTGCACCATGTGTGACTGAGTTAGGGTAATGGTGCGCTGTGCTCTGTCCCGGGTGATCTGCAAGCCAAGGTAGCTGCGCAGTTCACCCAGGTCTGTGCACGTGTGTCTCTTCTGCAGCTCGGACTTCACGTGGGCGAGTCCAGCAGTGTCAGCAGTAGCAAAGACCAAGTCGTCGACGTACACGAGGATGTAGAACGGCGGCAAAGAGGTGTCGGTGCGTAGAAACAACGACGGGTCAGCAGTAGAAGGAGCAAACCCAAGAGCCGCAAGTGTAGTCCTCAGTGTGTCGTGCCACTCACGGGGCGCCTGG